AAACCCTAAACACTACCTATAGTCTCCGTTGTAGTTCCTTTTTGGGGATACCTTATTTACGAAAAGATCCTTATTATATAATCGGTTAAACCAAAAGAAGGAACTACAATGGAGACTAGACTATAGGTAAACCCTACTTGGAGGTTCATGGGTAGTTCTAAGGGGGTGATAAGTCCCCTAACATGGATTATAAGTATAGTTACCCTGCTTATATAACCCCATTTATAACTACCCATGAACCTCCAAATGTTAGGGGACTTATAACCCCAATTATAACTACCCATGAACCTCCAAGTAAACCCTAAAGAGCACCCAAAGGCCTTGGTGCAGGACGGCATGAACCTGGAGCGGCGTGAGTTCTTCTTGACGAGCTTTACAGGAGAACGGGAGAAGTTACGACAAGAAGTGTGGGAGGTGCTGAAGCGTTGACTCTGATCCCTCCCTCCCTCCCTCCCTTCCCCCAACACCCTAAAGCCCCCAGAAAAAAAAAGGAATTCTGCCAGGAGGCTGTCGTGGCCGCACTGCTTCACGGGAATGCCCTCGAAGCCGAAGGCGCAAGCCCAACCTCTCTGCGGTTCCCAGAGGTTGAGGGTTGAGGGGTTTAGGGGTTTAGGGGTTTAGGCCTTAGGGCTTTAGGGGTTTAGGGGTTTAGGGTTTAGGGGTTTAGGGGTTCAGGGTTTTAGGGATTAGGGCTTATGGTGGGTTTTGGGGTTTAGGGACTGGGGTTATTGTGGTTTTAAGCATGCAGCTTATCTAAGGTACATTGGCCGAGCTTACAGGCTCTTGAAGTCTCCGGGAAGCCTGCGGATGTCGCTGAGATCCGCGGGGAATTCGAGCTTGTCAGGGCTGTTGGGTCGAGGTTCTGGAATGCTTCGGTTTAGACTTTCGAATTCAGGGTTTAGAGATTCGGGTTTAGGGTTCTGGAGGAGGCCGCTGGATTTGCGGAGGCTGTCTCATAATCCTTGAAAGGGAGCGCTTAATAGTTAGAATATGGTTTTGGGCTTCCTTATAACTATAGTATAATACACCCCAAACCCTATTCTAATTATTAAGGCCCTTATATTAGGCCCTACAGTATTTCGATCCTTACGTAACTCTCAGAAAGGGAGGGGTGATCAGTAATCAAAGCCAATCCCCAAAGCAACCCTCAAGCTCCTCAAAGAGCCTAAAAGCCCCCACACCCTGCAACCCTACACCCCCAATAGGCCTCAAAC